AATAGAATTCTTAACCAAGCATAACGTAATTAGAAATTCTATTCAAGTAATTTTGCATGCGTAATTAAGATATTTGATGAAAACACTAGTGACTTTCATCAAGTATCCAAATGGCATCTTGTGATCAAATAGTTGATTATCATTGGCTAATTTACTCATGAATTATTAATGAATTTGAGAAAGGTATCTTCTCTGTTACTTGGATAAATGAATTAGATAGTCGTCCGTTTTATAAAAGTTTTTTTAAAGGAAACTATAAGAGAATTTAAACATGTTTGAAGTGAAACCAGGTTGATCATTTATATAGGCAATTCCAGCTTTTAATTTATGCGCGCACGGGAGGATGGGAAGTAAGGTATCATATTGCTGATTATGCTGAAAAAATAAAAATGGCGGCCTTGTAAACACGGGGTGACAGCTTATACTTGTAATTTGTAAATATGGAAATATTTCGGCAGTTGGTATTGAAATTTTTCAGCATAATCAGCAATATGATTCCTTACTTCCTATCACTTTCTGCGCGCAAAAATTAAAAGCTGAAATTGCCTATTGAGTCTTTTGGATCTTATTGTTTCAACATATTTATTGATTGTACGATATTGGAAACTGTCCATAATAGGAAGGAGTTCATATTGGAAAGAGGTTGTATAATAATACTTTATTTCAGGATTGCAGTTGTGTTTTGGTCAAACTGTCAACATTGAAATCTTGACTTTACTCAGAGGTGAAGTGGGTGAACTTTTTAAAGTTGTCCAGACATGGAATTTAGAGAAAGAGCAGGTATCAAAATTATTTTTTTGGTTGAACGTGTAAGCTGAGAAGTCTTGCAAAGTGATTAGTTTTGCTGAAGAAAATTACCATCCTAAGCCTCCAACTAAATGAAGCGGAAAAATTTAACTCAGACACAACAAAACAATACAGCCAGGCCCATCATAAGTTCCACCTGTAATGTATTCCAAAAATTTGGAACCAAATGCATATTAAGCAGCCTGAAGTTGAAGGAAATGGTGAGCACCTTAAATTACCTGAGCAGGATGAACTGTTTTTTTACGATTTCATCTTGTGAAGAGAATGAACTTCAAAGTCAGGGGTGAGCACGTGTTTCCTACGCCCCTACATATCCCTACCCCGGCCAATTGCAATATTGAAATAGTAAACACGCATGACAAAACTTGCCGCACTAAAAGACTCTTATCATATATATTCATACTTTAATAACATACACAGTAGACAAAATTATCTACCGCTCGTGGAATTAAGCATTAGAATTATACAGTACATCATTTTGCTTTGTAGCCTAAGAACACAAAATGAACATGTTCTCACACTGGATATTCTTATTTTAGAACAGAGACTTCACTATACAAATAAACATTCCTTGATAATGAGTTATTTGTGGATTTCCATGGTGAACAATAATATAGAGTACATTTTGTGTATGTTTTGAGGTTGAAAACATCACGATCACGCGTATTAATACATATGACCAAGCTTTGATCTAAGATATAAGTTATGATAATGCTGCGCTCGAAACTTTGCTTACAGACAAGTAATAGTTGTGCAAAGTTCTTATCTAAACATAACAACAATTTAAATATTTAAGAATTTATGGTCAAATATTTATCGTTTTGCAGATGACCACACTCTTTTCGAATATCACCCAGATACAGTCAAACTTGAGTAAGGAAATAGACGATTTGCGCATGAGAGTAGAAAAGTGCGAGATTCAGGGAAATAAAAATTCTGAAGAAATAAAGCTTCTTGAGAAAAAATGTACTACTGAACTTTCAAGAGTTTATATTAAGGAGGAGGAGAAAATTCCCTATGTCTTTACTGCACCCCCGCGCAATCGTTACTTCGCTGGTCGAACTAAAGAAATCCAGGAACTTAAACGCATTTTGAAAGTTGAGGGAACGTCGAACGTTCGTGTTGCAGCAGTATGTGGTTTGTGTGGAATTGGTAAAACAAGCTTAGTTTCCGAGTATGCTCATCAAATGAAGGATTTCTACAAGGGAGGTGTTTATTGGTTCTCAGCTGAAGATGATAAGATTCTTGAGAAGACGATGAACGACATCGCATTAAAACTTAAGGCAATACTTGGTTCATTTGATTTGACTTTGTCAAATACCATGAGAAATGTTGGCACTACAAATGATCCAAGTCTTATTGTCCTCGACTGCTTAGATGAACTGGACCTTTCGTCCAATATGAGGAGATTTCTTTCCTTCCCTTCACAAGAAAATTTCTTTGGACATTTTGTTGTGTTAACTAGACGAAATCCAATCCGACTTTTTAATGAAGTTTCAGTGTTTGAGGACGATTCTTGTCTCCAACTGGAATGTTTCCAACCTGCAGATGCAAAGCAATTTCTTTTTTCAAGAAGTAAAGTAGTTCGTGATGAAAATGTTGAAAATGACGCAGAATGCCTTTGTGACGAGCTGGGGAGGCTGCCACTTGCTTTGGAACAAGCAGGAGCTTATATTCAAATACGCCGTTGCAATTTTTCTACGTATCTGAAGCAATATAAAACTGAGCGTTTGCGATTGCTCAAGCGGCAACGAGCACGTGCTGCAGGTAACGACTCATCAGAACGTCTCGCCGTTCACACGACATGGCTTATCAATACAGAGTTTATCAAGAAGAGCCCGGATGGTCAAGCTGCTGTTCGATTTATGAATGCTTGTTCATTTCTCAATGGAAATGAGATCGAAGAAGAATTAATCAACGTTGGGACACCCGAAGTGGAAGACGTCGAGTATCGTAAATGCGTGTTATCGCCATTGGGTTGCCGTGAGGTACTAAACCTGTTGTCTGACTTTTCACTTTTCACTTATGTTGGAGGGCACTCTGTCTGCACCCATCGTTTGGTTCAGGAACTAGTGTGGGAAAGTCTTACTCCTGAATCGAAAGCAGAGAGTTTCATTGATGCTGTGCGGATGCTTTCTTACGCATTTTCTAAATGTTTTTCACCCAGTAATCTTGTAAATTCAGACGAAAACAATGGTGAAGAACAAAACATTGCTATCTGTGATTTACCTAAAAGTCCTTCTCACTTCTATATGTGGTCTAAATTTTGTATGCATGGTCATCATCTTTGTAGAAATATGGAGAATCTGTTAGTAACTCTCGGCTCTGTTTGTCAAGACTCAGTGTGGTTTCCTGAAACAGCCAAAATTCTTTACGAGTGTGCTGTTCACTTGAGTGCAAATCACAAACAGGAAAAAGCAAAGCGCATTTTAAACTTTGCTTATCGTATATTGGACTGGTTTCCTTTATTAGCAGGGTATGAAACGGTTGCAGAGAATGTTTCTAATAATTCATTGTTTCCACTTTTTACTCCTTTACCAAAGTGTATTCAGATCGTAATTAAACGATGCTGTATGCCTCCTTTTGTTTCACTTCAACGTCTGACTGAAAAACCTGGTGGTCTTGATTTAGATAAGTTGAAAGAGAGTATTGAGAAATTAAAGTTGGATGGAAACAAGCGTTTCAAAGATGGCCGCTACAAGGAAGCATTAGATGCCTATTCCTCTGCAATAGATTTGGCTCAAGAGTGCAATAACGCTTTCAATCCCTTGTTGCTTACTAACCGTGCATCAGTTTACATAAAATTAAAGCAATATGAAGATGCTTTAAAAGATGCGAATAATTACATAACACGCCGCCCAGATTGCTGGAAGGGCTATGCTAGAAAAGCTCCGGCACTTGATGGCTTGAATGAAAAAGTCAGTGCTGAAATAGCTGCTGCTTTAGCTTTTTATCACAATAGAGCTGTATTCTCAGGTTTTCCACCGTTTAAAGAATCTTTCTTTGATTTGCAGAAACGCATTTTTGTATGCGATACTGTAGATCAACTGCAAAAAGCGATTTTTTCGCACGAAGTAGAAACGGGTGTCTTAAAGATTTTGGTTTTGGGATCAGAAGAATATATCTTAAATTCTAATACACTTGTCGAACCTTGGAACCACTGTATTCTAGTTGGTACGAAAAAAATTTGTTCTGTTTCTTTGAAATCAGACAATGTCATTTCGTTGTCGAAGTGCATGCTTACAAATCTGTCATTCCATTTGATTAACAGTCAGTTGGTATGTCTTCTTGGTTCATTCGTCAAGATACTTAACTGTGACTTTACTTCTTATCATGGCGATGATATAATGCCTGTCGTAGCAACTATGGGGGACTTGAGTGCAGAACAATGTAATTTTACGGGCAGCAATGATGCTGGACTGGAATGTGTTGAACCAAGTAATGCGGTTGTTGTTGACTGCTCCTTTTATAATAACGGGAAATGTGGTGTAAGAGTGAGCCACAACGCAACGTTAATTGTGAAAAACAGTCGCATGTAAAACAATGGTCGTGATGGGTTACATATGTTAGGAAGCAAAACATCGAAGTGTGTCGTGATGAATTGTGATATTGACCACAACGGTTATTCAGGGATTGGTATGGTGCACTCGAAGAATGTTACGCTGATACGTAATAGCCTTTTTGGGAATGAAATTGGAATATTCATGTTCAATTCTGAAGCAAGTATCAGAGAAAACAATATTTTTGATAACGATCTTTGGGGAATCTGGTCGCAGAGCAATTCATGGTGCAGTATGTGGATGAATAAAGTTTTTCGCAACAAAGCTGGGGGAGTACGTGTCGGATTTCGAGCCGCAGGGAAAGAGTTTCCTCCATCTGTCTTCGAACTGAATAAAATTTGTGATAATATTGGTCCAGGGTTTGTGGAGAATGTAAACAGCTTTGAAGTCCATCCATGGGCGCTTGGAAAAAATGAAAATTTGATGAAGTCTTATTTCGAATCTCCCAATTCCCTTAAATCTGCCAGATTCCAGGATAACGAAGAGCACAATAACAAAGAAAATGAAAATGTTGGTAAGTTAAATTTGTCCGTTCCATATTGCTCAAATTGTCGTTTGGAGTGCACATCGAAAATTTGCAAAAAGTGCTTTACGACTGCGTATTGCGGTAAAAAATGCAAACGAAATCATCGATCAAAGCATGATACAATTTGCAAAGTTTTACGTGAGAAGTCAAGCTATTTGATCACATCCATGAAAAGAGTTGAATACGATATTACGCAAGAAGTTGAAGGTTCAAAGGAAATTGGTCCAAACGACAGCGTCCGCCGACCACGAAAGGGCAGAAGATTTGATGTCAAAGTACATACTAGTAGTATTAACAGAGGACGGATCATTCAGTCTCGTGCTGTGCGACCGCAGTCGTCAACTTCACGAGAGATTTGATTCCAAAGCTATTAAAGAACTGGTAAAAGAGTTTGGCGTATTATGTGAACGAAAATTTGCAGAGAAAAAATTGTTCTTTAACTGCCTGTTGGAAGACAACGGACAGCTTCGACTATTCACGAATGCATTTCCTAAATTTCAAAGTTGGTGAAACCATACCTTAGTACTGCGAAAGGAAACTTAGACTGAATGCCCGAACGGTTTAAGAGAAAAAATACATAATATACATTTATTTCCTACCCAGCGTAAGTAGTATAGGGAATGAGGGTTCTAGACCACTAACTGATCTCGGCTCTATCATCACTTTTTTATTTTCGTCTTAAATCAACAAGAATCCTGCAGTATTCTAGTCAATTTTTCTAGACCACTTTCTCCCTCATCTTCAACGTTGAATATTTCCAGTCGACTTTCATCCAATCTCTAAATTCTCTATTTAACAATTTACTCAAAATCCAATTGCAATCAACTTATTACT